CAAAAATAGTTACGGTGCTGTGCTGTAGATAGATGGATACCTGGGCATCTAGAGACGTGCAAGTTAGCTCCAAAGCCAGCTCCAATGCTCTAAACTCGAAAGGCAAGTCATCTGAATCAAATTAGACTCGTTGTCAGAAATGTATTAGACATTTAGTGTTACTTAAATGATTAAAAATATTATGAAAAGAAAATCTTAACTTTTGGTAAAGAAACAAGTTGTCACTTAGTTTTAGTGGAAACCTGTTTTTTACTGTCCGATTAGATACTTTTAGGAATGGCATAAAAAGGTTATCACTGGCATACATGTGAAAAGTATGAGTAAAAAGCATTAGGTATTACACACAACTAGTTTCCTTACCAGATTGATCTTTGTTTGACTGTAGGCGTTTGCACAATTCAGACTTGTACTGAACAACACATCCATCCAGAGAATTCATCAGGATAACCTCATCAGCTGTGATTATACACCTGATCTGTTCAAGACTAACAACAATAGCTTTCTCCCTTCCTAATATTGTAGAAGGGTAAATGAACAAAGGGTCCAAAAGTCGGAGATCTCTGGCAGGCAAAGAACAATGTCTCATTATAGTAGCCTTGTCTAGCTCCACAACGCTTGTGTTCCCAAGTGGATCAATCTGTATCCAAGAACGACTTCCATGACCCCTCTTCTTCAGTCCCTGAATACCGGACCACCCACGAATTCCATGTGCATGAAAATTCGCACTCCCAGTATTATTAGAGGAGGTCGATTCTGGAAGATCAGACAGAAGTAAAGGGGTTCGTGATCCTTCCATTGGATTTTATTCACCCTGCTTTGGGTGCTAATCCAGAACCTGGAAGAAGACAGCATCTATGCTGGTGCATATTAAATGGTGCTAAAATGCAACACCAAGCAACGACAGCCATGTCTGAGCAAGCTAGTTATTGATGAATGTATATGCATGAAACCACAACCACTGTATCGACCCTCATTCCTGTTCTTGGCGCATGTATAAAATAGAATCTGAAAATTTTAATTCAATATTAGAAATTCTTTTTCGGTAAAGTGTTTCAAAAAGTATAAACTCATCTATAAGATATAAAAGAAAAGTGAAGGGTTTGTGCGTGAATCACTATTCTGGAAAACACCACTTTGGAGAAAGTATTTAATATCAATTCATGAATTCTACTCGCTTCAACGAAGAAAAGAATGGAACTTTATGATGTACTTCATGATTGAGTCTCAACATAAAACTATGCTATAACACAACTAATTGAGTGTCATTACTGGGTCGATCCACATTTTGAAGTCAAAAACAGGAGAGTGCAACAGAGGACGAATCAACATAAATTAGAAGTAACAGTAACAGTAACACGAACAAGTTCGATTTCCTAAACTGATGTGAAGACAGACTCTATTGACCTTATTTCTTTTTGTGGGTTCGGAACACACAGAAATTTAAGAATAGTTTTCCATAAATCGCATGTATTAATAGTCTCAAACAGGACCACCTAAATCCAATCCATCATGGTCACGTAAATTTCCACAAAAACAAAGAATGCAAAGAGAAAAAGAAAACCCATCAGTTTAAATGATAGCTAGGAAGCAACGAGAAAACCCCATTGAACAAAATCAGCAAATGACAAAGAATCTAAGAAAAACACAGATAGAAGAATCAAAGAAAACCAATAATTACCCTGTGAAAAGAGCTCGAGATTGACCGACCTGAGATTGAAAATGCTCGATGGCTCGATGGCTCGATGTGAAAACTTGAGAGAGAAGCAGAAGATGCGCCTCCTGTCTCAGTGAACAGAAGAACCCGATGGCATGGCCGAGATAGTATCCACCGACCCGCCCCGTTTACTTTGGTTTATCTTATAAATCCCAATAATGTTGCACCTAAATATTATAAATTGTTTTTTACTTTTATTTTCTAAAATGTGGTCTTATATTTAAGGTATTTAAATCATGTGCCTTTTTTCTTTTTTTGAATTGTTAAATCATGTGCTTTTGAATTCATGTTCAACATTAGTCAATCTTTTTATAAATAGGAAATTTTAAACTACTTTAATGTTTTTGGAAATTTGAACTTGGTGTAAGTCTGAATACCATACTAAATATATCTCCAATAGTAGTAGCAAATTAAACTCTTTAAATTAAAGTTTGTTAACCTATGTGGCAATTTAAAAAGTTATTTTTTTGTTGAGAAATTTTAGGATTGAATTTATAATTCAGCCAAAAAAGCCACTAGTCACAAAGGGCCATTACAATAAAGAAGCTGTCTAACATCAAAATTAAGACAATTTGATGCGCTTCCATTAACGATCATGTAGGATCAAAGAAACTCTGACATAGACATCCCAACAAAGATTGTAAACTCAAAATAATCAAAAAGAGATAAAGTTTGAAAAAACCAAGTCATAACAATACAAATAAAAATCTTATAAATGAGAGATGAAAAGCTCTCACAAAGGAGAGATGAAAGGCTTTTATAAAGGAAAAGTGAAAATCTCTCACAAAAGGAGAGGTGAAAACTACACAGAGAACCCAAAAAGTCTGTGACTTATTTCAAACATAAAGAAACCGCAAAGAGGATGGTGATGGAGATCCGACGCTGAAATGCAGGTGGAGATCTGACGCCGAGACGCAGCCTCCTGTGATGTTTAGAGGAAAATCATAGCAAAACGAAGACAAAAAGGGGCATGGGCGGAGCCAATTAAGGGTCACTTGACCCTTCTCATCCTTTGATAATTTGTTTTTATATTTGTTGCAGTTAACTCAATTACTTTCTGTGTTACATGGCTAACCCTTATCATCTTTTGAGTTTACTCACTTTCTCATTTTTCTTCTTTTCTTTGTTTACTATTTAAATCTCTAGACTATAACAATTAACCAAGTACACTACAAAATCCCTCTTGACTCTAGTAGTATCTTTTTTCTAACACAACATCACATAAACATACCTCATAATTCGCAAGATTTCTCGTGATTTCTTTAATCGAATGAGCCAATCAATTAGGCAAAATTATCACTCTCGCTATTTAAGGTTGACCTAACTCTGCCAATAGGGGAAACCTTTTGTCTCTGAAAATGAGGGGAGAAGAGAGGGAGAAAGAGAAGAGCACCCCTCAAAGTGAAAAACATATGTATGAGGGTTTTTTTAGGAGAGAGGGGGGTAGGGTTTGGGAGAGAGTGTCGGAATTTGAAAAGATTTATTTGCTACTTGAATAATTTTTGCTCCAACACACTCTCCAATTCAATTAATGCAATATCATGGAAAAAAATTGAAAACATGTGAAAAATGTCTATATATTTATAATATGAAAATAGGGTTAATCGTTTTATTAGTCCCTGAACTTTGACATGATTTGCATTTGAGTACCTCAATTTCCAAAATGGTTCCTGTGGTCCTTTAACTTTAGTTTCGTTTGGACAACTAGTCTCACTGTTACTTCTGTCAATTTTTTCGTTATATTTAGGGCATGTGGGGAGTAGTTGAGGGACAAAAAAGACTTTTACCTCTTTTAGCTTCTCTGATACGACATTTAACACATCAGAAAATCTGAAGAGTTACGAACCAAAGAAGAAATCTCTCTCTCCCCTCTCCCTCTATCCCGATTTCTACCCCCTACCCAGCCATCCAACTAGCCCCATCGCGATCTACCCCACCTCCTCTATCTCTTCTGACATGCCTTCTCAATTTTCTTCCAAATCTTTTAACAGACCTAGCTCTCATCATAACTTACTCTCTTGTTCTTCTAATTGGAATTGTTCCTTATAGGTAGAGAGTACCAAACATGGTCCATCGCTGAAAATTTTGAGTGACTATACCATGAGGGTTTTGTCTTTTGGGTCTCTCAGGTGGATCCTGAAAATTCAAATTCAAAGAAAAAAAGTTGTAAACTTGTAAAGACTTCTCCTTTACTTGCTCTGCTTAGCTTAGCTCTTGGTGCTTGCCTTTCCCACAAGATTGCAGATGCTTTGTCATTTTTCATGTTCATCAAAACTTGGGCAGCCAATGCCAGACAACAAGATGAACATATAGTGTGCCCCCAATTTGTATTAGCCACTCTTCCCACCAAGAAACATATCCGAGTTTAATCCAAGGATTGGTATCAGAGAGAGAGAGAGAGAGAGAGAGAGAGAGAGAGAGAGAGAGAGGCGGTGGAAGTGGGGATGATGAGATGGGTGAAGGGGGATAATACAACCAACCTGAAAAGACCTATCTACCCCTAAATATAATGAAAAAATTGACAGAAGTAACGGTAGGACTAGTTGTCCAAATGAAACTTAAGTTAAAGGACCACGGGAACCATTTTGGAAATTGAGGTACTCAAATGCAAATCAGGCCAAAGTTTAGGGACTAATAAAACGATTAACCCTATGAAAATAAAAAATGCATGTTTTTAACATTTTCAAAGTAGGTTTCATTTTTCTGAAGTAAAATTAAATGTTTTAAAAAGTCAAAGTCAACTTTCTAGTCTTGAAGAGAGAGAAAGAGATTGCAAGTTTGATTATTGAATTGCATAAGGGTGTTGGAGAGATCTTTTATGATGTGTCTCATCTATTTGAGCATCACAAAGTGGTTGAAGAGTTTATTAGAGATGCTGACCTAACCTACAACTGTAACTATTAATTAATCTTAATATGATCTATTTGATTTTTTTTTTTTTTTTTTTTTTGCTTTTATTTTTAGTATACGCAATAGTCTAAATCGTAGAGTAGAGGAATTTCTCACACACACAATACTAAAATCATAAGTAGTCAATTCGAACATGACGCAAGTTAAGACTTTTCCATTGGGCTAGATCCGTTTACTGTTTTGCTTGTTTATTATGTTGAAAATTGGCATTCTAATTCAGGGAAAATGCCACATTATTCACAACTCACAAAGATCTTATTCCTCAAATGGACACTTTCGTCCACGAAGCAAATTACTATTGTATCCTTATCCCGTGACGTGGCATCGCACGATAGGACGAATCCGAACACCTGAATTAAATCCCAGCATGGGACGGCTTATGTAGCGCCCAAAGAAGGTAGAGTAGTTAAAATGGCGCGAAAGGCAGTGAGCGTTAGTTACAGATACAGAGGGAACCCAAAGAAACGCCGAAAATGTCGCAACGCCTTTCATCATCAGATTTTCCCACTCACAAACCCTAATTTCCCATTTGGCATTCCCTCATTATTATTTCTACAACACAATTTCAGATATTCAACGGCAACAGCTTTCAGTTCTATCTTTTTTATTTATTTTCTATTTTTTTCAAAATTAGGGTTTATCAATCAAAGGGTTTCTCCTTCTTACATTTTTTCTAATATTTGGGTTTTGAAGATTTGTAAGTTTTCAATTTCTATTTCTCGGGAATTTTTTCGATTCAATTGAGGGGTGGGAGGGTTTCCTATCACAAAAAAAGGAAAAGAGAGGTGAGGAGGAGGCAGAGGACTGCTGATCGTCCCGACCATTTAGAATTGGGCACCGAAGGGCTTCTTTGTAATGATTCAAGTGAGCTTCTTTCCTTCTTCATCTATTTGTTAGATTTATGAATCAATTTGAATTTAGCTATCAAATTCATGTCTTAGATCTGGAAATGAAATTTCAAGAATTTATCGGGAAAAGACATTGCTTGTTGTCTTATCATATTGAAATGCTTGTGCAAATGACGGCTCACGCAGTTAATTTGGTAATTGTTGACATTATAAACACATGAAATTGTATATAACTGGTAGGGTTTTAAATTTGTTGGTTTTATTAACCCATTCTTTTAAATGGCTCAAAGTTTTGAATTGTGTGAATTGATAATGACATGTGTGTCCGCCAAACTAATACCGAATGCTCCTCTTTGTAGACGGGTGTGTTTTGCTCAACTTGCAAATCTTAGTTAACTGTTATTGTGATAGCATTTTCCATTCAAGCAACCAAGTTGGAAATCCATCAACTTACTGCGGATTTAGTTTCTGTACTTTATAAGATTTGAAAGCAAAGTCTATCAATTATATCTGTTATGAAATTTGTTTTGGGCATGTTTCAGTTATGGACTTGGAACCTGGCAGCAGAAACAGTAAGCATTCAGAAATAGTTGTTGATGGAAGTGGAGGCAATAAGCACTCAGAAACATCACAGGCTCCTGATGCGAGTGATAGAAATAGCCCGTCAACAATACGTCTAGAGGCTAATGCTAATGAAGGTGATCTGCGTGTCCCGTCCAGAAAGCTAATCTCTTTGTCCTCTTTGTCTTCAGTGGCATCAGACTCGTCATTGGAAGATCTCTTCCAAGTGGATACAAATAGAATTTCCACTTCACCACATATTGCTTCCCTCCCTAAACATCATGACCACAGCTCTCTGGGTCCCGCATCAACATCCCGAGTTTCGGATGTTGGGCATGGTATGTCACCGACAGAATCCCCCACTGTTCAAATGATGGAACGGAGTGGAGGATATGATCCTTGTAGGATCCCGTCTTCTGTGTTTGCAAGAAGTAAATCCAACAAAGAAATGGAATGGAGTGTTGCTTCCAATGAGTCATTGTTTAGCATTCATTTAGGCAACAATAGCTTTTCCAGAGACCATATATTTTTGCTGGGTGATTTGACTAAGTCTGGGGAACTATATAAATCAGGCGAGTTGTATGGGCTCAGTCCACACCCTCCTCCAATTCCTGAGCTAGAAATTGACAGCAATGGGATTGAAGAGGTGAGGGAATCTGGAGCTGAAGGAATGGAAGATGAGACCGTCAAGGACACTGCAAGAACAAATGCCGAAGATCATAGTGAGGGAAGAGTGCCAGCTCCAACTGTATCCTTCAAATCCCATAGCCTCTCCCGCCGTTCCGATGGGAGTGGAGCTAGCACACGCTCTTTTGCCTTCCCAATGTACGTCTATATAAGTTTTCTAAGGTGAACTATGCATGGATAGTCCCTATCTTTTCATATGGATGTACTGTGTACTAAAGGATGGGCATGCATGCAGTTTTGACTGTATAATACAGAGCTTGTGTTCATAGAATAATTTCTAGTATTATACATGCTCATGCACACACAAAATTCAGACATACGCATGTCTACAGTAGTTTGTGTGCATAGGAAGCATCATCTGTGTGCATGCTCATGTATGTATATATGCACGGAAGTTCCCAAACCTAGAACTTTTCTTTTATTGGCTAAGATCCCGAACCTTGAACTCGGTCCATGAAGAATATAGCTTTGTTTATTGCAGAACAAAGAAGCGTGCATGGCCATTGTGCTACTGTTCTAATTGTAGTTGGGCGTTCTGCTATGGTACATGGCCAACCTGCTACTGTTCGGATTGTAGTTGGGCGTTCTGCTACCCTTGGAACTGTAGCAAAAAAGAATCCATTGTGATTTTACAACCATGTATGCATGTTTCTTTAACCATAGTGGCCATTTGTCCGTCTTTAAGTAGAAACAGAAATCCTTAATAATAAGATTTTCTTTTACTAAATTATCATCTATATATTTGATATCTTTTCATGTCTCTGTGTCTCTTGCAAATGCAATCTATCGTTTGTGACTGTTATGCACATTTTGATATGGCAGATTGACAGATGGGATGAAAAATTCTATGAAGGTTACACAGTATACAGAAGAGAAGTGTCTGGAGCCACCAGCAGCGGCCAAAGTATCGACTAAAAAAGTAACCAAATCAAAACCCACCTATTGGTGTCGTTGCTTTTCATGGTGCAAGTGGGGTTGTTCTTGTCATCGTCACTGTTCTTGTCCTTCTTGTTCTTGTTGTGGTGGTTGTTGAGAAATGTAAGTGCTATCCTCTTTCTTTGTCCATAATGAATGCCTAACCTTCCTTTAAGGTACTTGTTCCGAGAAAAGTATGTATAGTTACAGAAGATCAGTCATTCACACATCGAAATCCTCTCAAACTCAGTTGATAGTTGGAGTGTCTTCTATTCTATGTCAGATATCTAGTGCAAGAATTTCTAGTACCCTAGTTTCAGGTCATATTTTTTGCTTTGGTTTATGCACAACATGCTACATGGTGTAACTTGAATTGTACACTAGGTTTAATGCATCTTATAATACATGTAGCATTTGCCTGCAATAAGGGAAACTTGTAAGCTCTCTTGTCTGATTAGTCTCAGTTTCATCTAGTGGGAAGCCCTGAATGCTACACGAAATCTGCAATGCTTCGCATTCCTAAGGCATACGAAGAAGAACAACTCAGGTCTCTCTCTCTCATTTGCCATATCATAAAGTAATGTGAGCAGAGCAGGCTGTGAAAAACCTTGACAGACAAAACTTTCTGTCAACATGCTGCTCCAGGAAGAATGTGCTACCAATTTGACAAGAGCAATCTGCCAAGCCAATCATGGCGAGAATGGAGCCCAGAGGGGCATAGCTAGCAACATTTTTCGCAACGGAAGCTGATTTTAATTGAAGCATGGATTTGAATGACAGAACATTCAGCAGCAGAATCAGCACCAGCCCTTATGTTATCTTGATTTATCAGGCATGGTCCGAGAGTACAGAGCGGGCTCACCACATGTTACCAAAAATCTCCTTCCAACAAAGAATACTTTTGTAATGTACATAACCAATTTGAGATGCCATATGATCATTTAGTTTTAAATATGCAGGTCCGCAATTTTGTTTTTTATTATATTTACCTGGATATTTTCTTCAAATGAGACTGTCGCTGAAACGATAAGCAGGATATTTCACAATTAGCAATTCTCTCCTCACTTGTTAATATCAAAAGTTGCGAAAAAAACATTGTTCTCTCAATCCATGGGCTTTATAAAAAAGTATAGGGTTAAACTTTTTTTGGTCACTAGGTTTTACTTGGAAATTCAATTCAAATTGGTCATTGTGTTTTCCAAATCTTACAATTTATAGACATTCGCTGTTATCTTCCATTAAGTGGAGCTTTTATTTTTATTTTTTCAAGAAGCAACTTCAGACTTCTTCCTTTAACTCAACGAGTTAGGGTATATTGTGCTATTAAGGATTAACATATTGAGAGAAATCTTGGATTGAAATTGAAATTGTAAGGTATAAGGAAAATAAAAAAGGCAAATCAAATTCAAGTGAAATCAACAACTTTACAATATATTTTGGTGCTCTATCACCTTGATTACGTCTTCTTGCCATATGAAGTCACAATACACTTTTCACTCAGTTTATTCAACTTTAATATAGCATCCAATCTATGACCTTATACCTCACAATTCCGATTTCAACCCAAGATTTCCCCCAATTTGTTAAACCCTATCAACACAATATACACTAACTCATAAAAATTAAAATTTTCACTTAAAGAAAGTTAACGGAAGATAATAGAATGTCTATAAATTATAAATTTTGGAAAACACAATGACCAATTTTATTAAAAAAATTTCTTAGTGACCAAATTGAATTTTCGTGTAAAATCCAGGAACAAAAAAGGTATTTAACCCAAAAATATATATTTAAAGGGAGATATGATAATTTCTCAACAAAAAAAAAAGGAGATAGATAAGAATATCATTAAATCACTAAGAAATGCCACTTTTTTAATAATAAAAAAATATTGAAGTGGCAGATTTGTGAAATTTGCAATTTGGGGTTGGGTGTTATCAAAATCAAATATGAAGTGGGCTTCGATTAAAAAGTCCCGGGCCCAAAAAGCAATCACCCATTCCCTCCTCTCCGCATCTCCTCCATTGCCCGTGATGGCGCTGCTTATTGCTCAGCAGCTCAAGAATTTTTAGAAGTTTGTTAGTCTGAGAATTTAAATTTTGATTAAAAAAATGAAACTTTTTCCGTGTTGCAGTTGATTTTCGTTCAAGAATGTTGCCATGTTGCTGATATTTAGCTTACTACTCCTTCCTGTTAGAGTTTTGAGAGCTGGAATTCACACTACGATTTTGAAGAGGGGAAAGAAGAAAGCAAAGTGACTTTAACAGCGATGGTACCGCATTCTCTGACTGCTAATTTCTAAAACACTCATTTTAAGCATTTCTTCATTTTGATTAATTTTGTTTTTGTTGTTTTTCTTTTAATGTTATTCGGGTTTTCATATATGAAGTATATTGTAAATAACGTGTTTGAGGAAAGGCCGCAGAGGGACCAATTCTTATTATCTTCTACTGGTCTTGGTATATGCTTGCTGGGTCACTATTAGAAAGAGAAAGAAACAAATTAGTGCCTGTTCAGATTTAGTTTTTCATCATGAACTACTAACTGTACAGGCATTTGTATTGTATCTGACAGTTGTTGAGTAACATGTGTGGAAATAGATTACGAATAAATCTTTGTTACTTAAAAGTTGACTGGCATATAAAGCTCTATCTCAATTGCTGATGAGAAATATTTACTTTTTCTTTGATTTTTGTTGAATTTTAGATGGATGAGTGGTTAAAGAACCATATCTTTGCAATCCATGCACTTTCTGGTGTAGGGTCGGTGGCATTAGGCACAGCTCTTACTTACCCTCTTGATACTATCAAAACCCTTATTCAGGTTTGTTACCTACATCTTTGCCTAGATTTCTGATGCTTGAGAAGTTATTTGTTTTTCAAAATCTCTGTTATGTACTTTTACTCTTCTTAATGAATATTTTTTCCTATAAAAAAATTGAAGAGCAATGTCATAATCTGCTTCTACCCTGGATCCTCATTTATTTTCATTGTGAGAACAGGTTGGTTCAGGTTCTAATAAACAACTGACAACTGCTCAGGTTTTAAAGAGAGTTCGATACTTTTCAGGAAATACAGGTGCTTCCCCGAATTTTTTATTTTTTAATTCTACCTTTACTTGACAAGATATAAGAAGCATGGGAGTACATGAGAGTTACTAGGATGGTTTCATTAGTGTTTCCACATCCTGTTGTTCCCCCCCAACACCCCCAAGGGCTTACTGATAAGTACTAAGTTTGGTTTGTGATGCATATTGTAGGTTTGTACAATGGTTTCCTATGGCTGGCAGTGGGAAGAACTTTGGGGGTTGGAGCTCGCTTTGGGACCTATGAAATTTTGACAGCCTTTTATAAAGGTATTTCCCTTAATTTTTCTGTACCCAATAATAAACATGTGACGTTACATGGATAGAGTTGTGTATCAATATATGATACTAAAATTTATCTTTGTTATAATTGATTTACAGCTTCTGTCACATTATGTGGTTGCAAATACCTCTTTTGCAGATGGTCGAGAAGATAACTATGTCTACGTCTCTGAGGCCCTCCTGGCAGGACTTGTTGCTGGTGTTGCAGAAGCACTAATAAGTTCTCCCTTTGAACTTATAAAACTTCGTGCCCAGGTGACCTCTGCTTCTCGCATTCCAAGCTCGGCCTCTCTCACAGAAAAGGGAGCTGTTGCACCTGTGATTCAAAGATTATTGCGTGGATATATTCCGGACATGAAGGCATTAAATTCTTCTGTTGGCCTTTTATCCACCCTAACAACCAAACATCCCAATATGACGAGTGCTTTACAAGAGTATCCATGGATGATGACGGGATCTGGGAGGCCACCATCCGTGTTCAGTGTTAGGAAACCATCTGAAGTCATCTCTTTAGAAGGATGGGGTGCATTATGGAGAGGCCTACGGTCAGGGGTTGTTCGGGATTCAGTTTTTGGTGGCATATTCTTCTCTACTTGGCAATCCCTGCACCGAGCAATGCTTGACTGGAAGGCAGTGGGGATGGATCCAGAACCTAGGTATTAAAAGGACTTGCTATGACCTACACACCATCAAGCACCATATTTTGCATTTCTCATGTCTGTGCATCCAATGCTTACATGTAAAAAATTAATTAATGTACCCTTTTTCTTTTTACTGAAGTGCATTTTCTTTGTCTAAGGTCGGATGATGAAATCGGTCCGCTGTCTCCTTGGGCTGTGAGTCTTGCTGCTGGAGTTTCTGGTTCAGTTGCTGCAGCTGCTTCTCATTGTTTTGACACTGCTAAGTCTCGATCACAATGTATTGTGCTGCCCAAGGTATGCTACCTGTTCTTGGCAACGTTAGTCTGCTTTGGGCGTGATCTACTAGCATCAGCTCAACAAAATGCCTTGCAATGGGTGTTTTTTTATTAATAAGGTTGCTTTGGTTATGAATGTTGAAAGTTTGTGTTTTGTTTTGGGCAGTTTGTCTCCACGGAGAGGAAGCTTCTGAAATGGGGAAGACCAGGGAATAGGTTTGAGAGACTTACAGGGATTCACCCTGCAGACAGGAATCTCCTGTTCCGTGGCCTTGGGTTACGGATGGCTAACAGTGGGATTGCATCATTCATCATGGTGGGAAGTTATTTCTTGACTGTGGATCGTCTTGCTTGAAGATCATCAAATTAATTGGCATAGAATGCTTAATTGAATTCACAGAGAGCTGCATACGTGTAGCTGTATACGTTTAGCTGTTTTGTTATCTAAATGAAACTGTTCTTCTTGTCCAAAGGCATTGATAATCCATCTTTGGGTTTAACATGCTTGTCCATGTCTTCCTCTAAACAAAATCTCGTCTTGGTTATTCTTAATTATGACTTTTTAACTACACTTCTGCACATTTTCGTTGTATAATTCTCCCTCTCTTTTTTTTTCCTAGTTATTTATTTATTTTTTCGGTCATGGAAAAAAGAAAAAGAGGAAGTTAAGCAAGCCAGCCCGCTACGACTTGTCGTTTCCCGGTCACGGAGTGGCAGCTAGGGTTTTAGATAGTTGCAGAGGTTTTCAACCTCTCTGCGCAACTCTCACTCTCACTCCCAGCCCTGCAAACATGAATAACAGGGAAAATAACCAGACTTGTTTTCAATAACCCAATAATTGCTTTGCATTACAAATTTACAATCCACAACAAAAACCCAAAAGAAATTAAAAAAATGGTAGGCGCTCTCGCCAGAACCCCACCTCTCTTCTCCTTGTTCATCAAAATCCCACTTCCCCTAATCTCCCGCAATTCTCGCTGCATTTTTGGTACAATTATCCACTTCCCGAAACCTAAACTGACCCCAACTTCCATGGACAACTTCTCCATGGACAAAAGGCTCCATCTTTGCACCCTGGCTCTCTCCAATGATTCACCTTCGCGTTCGGCTTCGGCGCCGCTGGTTTCCAACAAATCCAAGAAGAAAGCGCGGCGAGAATCGCCGGAGGGGGTACTGAAGCACAAGCTCGACATGTGTTCCAGGCATGGCCACCTGGTCGAAGCTCTGAGGCTTTACGATGAGGCCAGAAGTAGAGGGCTCCCGCTTAGTCTGCACCATTATAATGTTTTGCTTTATTTGTGCTCTTCCAATGGTGGTGCTGATGATGATGGTGTGGGTTTGAAGAGGGGTTTTGAGATTTTTCGCCAGATGGTTGATGATAAGGTTGTGCCCAATGAGGCCACGTTTACCAGTGCTGCTAGGCTTGCTGCAGCGGCAGAGGACCCGGAAATGGCCTTTCATTTGGTGAAGCAGATGAAGGGTCTTGGGATTCCGCCCAAGTTGAGGTCCTACGGCCCTGCATTGTTTGGGTTCTGTAAGAAGGGGGAGGCTGATAGAGCTTATGAGGTTGATGCCCACATGGTAGAATCTAAGGTCATCGCTGAGGAGCCTGAGATTTCTGCTTTGTTAAAAGTTAGTTCTGATTCTAGCAAGGGTGACAAGGTTTATGAGATGTTGCACCGGTTGCGGATTTCCGTGAGGC